AACCCTAAACCCTAAACCGCTGGTTGCATTCTCAACTTCAGGATCCCGAGGATGTGCTCGAAGCCGCTCGAACGCCTGGCAAGCAGAGATTTCAGAGTCTCAGCGGCACCAGGCCCCTATGGTTCCTCGTAGCCGTAGCTTGGGGTTTAGGGTTTAGGTTTAGGGTTAAGGTTCTGTAGAGGAGATTCGCAGCGCCAAGGACTCTGAACGACGGCTCCAGGTTCTGGATCCGGGCTACGCACGGCCACAGCCTGAAGAGCGTGGACGCGACGAAAGGGGGCTTGTACACAGAAGCTCGGACAAGGGAAAGCAAGAAGCGAGATCCTTGAGATGAGCTTAAGGGCGACCCTGTTGTTCCGAGGAAATTAAAAATGCACTGCCCCTGTTGGTCCATGCTGTCGCTGGCTCTTCGGATGCACTTCAGATTTCGGATGAGCTTCTTGACGTGTAAACTGGGGACCTTGTTACCCGAAGTTGCCGCCCCGTCGAGGCGATTCCTTGCCGATTATCCTGGCCAATGGCATCAGCCGTAATGGGAAGCCACACATGCTGCAACTCCCCTGCAGCCGAGTGTAGCCAAATGGCGCAAGAAGCGTGGCTCTCCCTTCCCTTCGAGGTTCGCAGACTCCGACGAAGAGCCGGTACTGAGTCTTGGGTTTCAGGACGAGCAGCTAAGTGAAAGTCTGGTCGGGAGCCGAGTCGCGAGAAAGCAGACCCCTGCTTCAGGACTCCTGCAACATTCTCGTGTATATCAACATGGCCAAGGCAGAAGGTTTGTGAAAGCCGCCAGTGTCACAACCGGATCTGAATGATTTGTAATTCTCTCCCCAAGTCGTCCCCATATAAGTATGCAGTAATATACATTCAAACCTATTAATACCATTAACTCCCCTGATGTTACCTGCATCACCCCTGGGCAGGCCCTGTTTGCCGGCATTCCATTCAGCCGGGCTCCGGACGGCATGGTGGTCTCCCCGGGCATCACGGAGAGGCGGCGAAGGAAAACAGAGAAGGCTGGTACCATAAAACCCTAAACCCTAAACCCTAAACCCTAAACCCTAAACCCCTAGACCCTAAACCACAGTGTTCAGGGCCCATCGATGAGTCTGTATTTAAGGCTTGGGCCAATTGGTCCCTCTCCATCCCAAGATCATCCCAGATTCCAGCTTCGTGTGTTCTCTCCCCCTAAACCCTAAACCCTAAACTGGCACTAAACCCTAAACCCTAAACCCCTAAACCCTAAACCAGATCGGCACCATACCGGCGGACTTCATCCTCCGCGTCGTCCACCGATATGGGGCCAGCCGTGAGGAGGTCTGGCTACCAGGTCGAGGCTCGCGATCGATCCGACCCAAACTGAAGGCCCCAATGAAGGACTGCTAGGCAAGTTATAGAATCAGCTGTATAGGGTTTAAGGTTTAGGGTTTAGGGTTTAGGGTTTAGGGGTGTAGACTACAGATTTATAGAACCCTGACAACAGCCCTCAAAGGACTCAAAGAGGACAAACTCCTAAACCCAAGGGTTCGAAAAGGGGCCCAGCGAGAGTCGCCACTCCCAACACTTCAAGAGACCTCAACGAAGCTACCTCTCCCAGAGCTTCCCAGTGTGAGCACCGAAGCCGGTCTGATGGACCTGATGAGACTAGGGGTGGGCAAGCGCCGACTTGCGATGGGGAGCTCGATCTTCGTTCCAACTGGTCCGTTTTGGTAAGCTGCCGACCTGTCTATGAGTCTGTGATTCCGACTATGCATGTCAACCTATAATATCCCTAAGCCCTAAACCCTCAACCCTGGATAGTCCGAGTGTGAGCGCCGAAACCCTCAAGCCTCTCCTGGGCTCTGGACACATCCTCCTTGACAGCAACACGTGGAATGAAGCCGATTGGACGTGTCAGTTAATGAGTTCCGACTGACCGTATCGCTGCAGACCTTGCCAGGCTTTGTCCGAGTGTGCCCATGAAATCCTTAAGCCCTCAACCATTTGGGAGTTTCCGAACATAAGGGGTACCTTATTCTGGGGTCCTTATAATAAGGATCCTACTATTTAGGGTACTATACTAGGGTTCCCTATTTTCGGAAACCCCCATTCCGCCCATCCCGGCCAGGGAAGGGTCAGGCCAAAGGGAAGGGCGGCCCGGGAAACCAGAAGCAGCAAACTCTGCCTTTGATTCTGGGCCTGCAAAGGTTTTCTTAGGGTTTGGGGGTTTGGAATTAGGGCTCAGGGTTTAGGGCTTTTGGGCCTAGGGCTTAGGGCTTAGGGGTTTAGGGCTTAGGGCTTCCCTTAAGCACGTGGAGCCTTGCCCTTGGGAGAGTGAGAGTGAAACAAGAACCCTCGGTTTCACGCCGAACTGCCCTCGATGAACCTCGTTTGGGGTTTAGGGTTTAGGGTTTAGGGTGGTTGTCCGAGTTGTGAGAGTGTAAAAACCCTAAACCCTGCTCTGAAGGAGGAAATCCGGTGAGTCAAAGGTTGGTAATTCATAGTTACGTCGGCATTTTGCTGAGACAGGTCACAGAGTGCATGCCGGTGGGGGACTCTTTGAGAGAGAAGCAGGTCTTGTTTTCAAGATGACACGAGATGTGCTGCAAGGCAGGTACAAGCAGCTGCTACTCATGCCATAGAAAAGGTTTGTTCAATTATGTAGATTCATTGTTGGCTGATTTTGTTCTATGGCTGAGTATGTGGCGATATGAAGTTCTGACTTGATCCTTGCCATGTTCCCGCACTCACTTACTTAACGGGGTATATATGTGGCTTGTACTTCAACTTTTGTTGTGATGATGTGGGTCGTCAGGATTTCATATACAGAGATGACATGACGAACGTCAGATCTTCAATTGACTGCATTCCTGCATCGCCCATTACCAACCTCGCCTGTGAGCATAGTTCTCTGCCATGCGAGAGGGGGACAACCCTAGTCCCAAACCCTAAACCCTGATTCGTCCTAGCTATGTAGGAGGCAAAAAACGACTCCTTAGGTCTCGCTCGCAAGGTAGCTGGGCAAGTAGCGCCTTTGAGTAGCTCTCGGAGGGAAGGTGCACCGAGGTAATTCGGGGGGCGGAAGCTGAATGGACAATTTAGGCTTCGGAGTGGGGATGGATTCTCAGAATGTGACCGTATCACTGCCAAGGACTGGAATACCAAACATAATCGCTGAGACTCTGGCTGCTGTTGCTGCACATAGTGTGGAGTTCTGGGGCAGATATGCCTTGATAGGTCGTGGCGGGCTGGGTGAGGCTACAATCTGACTTGATCATAGTAGTTCCTGTTCATATTTAGAATCCTATACGGTAATCCCAAAAAAGAACTGCTATGGGGCCTGTGGGGAGTAACTTTAGTATCAATCTTCCGCGTTTCTGGGTTGGCCGGTGCAAGCGCTCGAGTACGGCATACTCAACGGCAGCAAAGGATGGCAATGCGGATGTCGTGCAAGGGGCCCAGTTCACGAAGCATCTTCGGCGACACGGGATGTTGATCCGGCAGTCGCGATCGAGTGGATTGAAGATACATGGTAACTACTGTTGTGAGGCAGGGGTTTGCAAGACTTGTCAACCCTGGAATGCGGGCATAGTCCTGGTATAGTCCTTACCACTTAGAGGCAACGACACCCTACATTTCGTGCCAACTGCAGCTCGCGAGGCTACAACCCATGCCGGCGGCAGCCAAGGTGGGCACTGCTCTGCACCTGCCGACGTGCGTAGTGTACGTTGTCTTCCACGGGGGTGGGGGTTTTGGGGGGGGAGGGGGCGTGGGGGACTATGGTCCGAGGCTGGGTTGATGGGTGGAGTGCTCTCCGAACCACGACATGAGACATATGAGACTAGGGTTTAGGGTTTAGGGATGAGACTGCCAGGATGTCCAGCAGATTGAGGCCCAGCTCCGACAGGAGCAGGAGCAGAGCCAGCAGCGTCAGCTTCAGCAAAGGCAGCAGATGCTGCAGGCCCCGGGCGTGTTGTTCAATGCTTCAGTGCAAGGTTTCGCAGCAAGCCGATCCGATCCCTTGCCATCTTTGCTGCAACAGGCCCAGATACAGCAGATCCAACAGCAGCAGCAGCAAATGCAGGAGCAGGCCAGTGTCTCCGTGGTTTGCTCACGGCTTGGACGCAGAGACTTGGAGATTAGGGTTTCGGGATGTTTCTGGGTGCAGGGGATGAGGGGATGAGCCCTGCAGCGGTTTCCTGGATGCAGCAGGGGTTTGGCAGCTTTTCGGACACTGGGCTAGTCACAAGGGCTCATGAGATGCCGGTCTGCTGGCACCGCATCGCAAAATTCCTGGCAGCCAGTGATCTCCTGGGCCAGGTTCGCATGGCGCAGCTGCTGGAGCTGAACCAGCTTCGCCTGCAACAAAGTCAACTGCAACAGGCCAGGGTTCCAGTTTGGGGGTTACACGTGGGCCTCCTCATGGCTTGCGAGGCGCAGCAGCAGATGATGTTTCAGCAGCAGCAACAGCATCACCAAGTGATGCAAAGGACCGTGATGCCAGTTTGTCTATCGTGGGTTCGCAGAAGCCCAGTGCACAAGGAACACATCGGCGAACCCACAAGTAGATCCAAATCAGAGCCGGCTGGCGATGCTGCAAGAGGACCGGATGGGAGCGGATGGTGGGAGTCGAGTGTGAGCATCATAGGCTCATAGGCCAAAGCCTGCCTGAGGCTGCACAGGAGGTTCATCACCTCACCCGCCAGCTTGAAGAAGCAACCGCTGCCCGGCAAAGCCACCACATTGCTCCGATGGGACCAGTGTCTGCCAGCCGAGGCTGTACTTTCAACACAAGGCCTCGCAACCGAAGGATCAGTGCCTCTTTGCTGTTGCTGTGGTGATCTTTCGGGCTTGTGCTCTGGGCCAGGGCAGGGCTTGTCGCAGTCGGCGTCGATGCCCGCGGCACCGCTCTCAGATCTTGTGAGGTCCCTTCCAGTCAGCTAGAGTTTTCGGGTGAGTCTGCCTTCGGTCTATGGTCTCGTGATGTCACGTGTCGAAAGGGTACGCCATCAGGCAATGTGTGGGCAGCAGGCTTTTGCCGGGTGCTCAGATTGCTCTCGTCCGAAAAGTCCCGAAACGGTGCGACAAGAACATGCTCGTACTTGCCTCGACTGTGGGCGGCCGCTCAAAACGGGACGCTTGGATTCGGATAGTCTCCTTTCGACATGCCAGGATGCTGCTCAGCTGCCTGCGATGGGCATGAGTCGGATGGGCGGCACGGATGCCAGTTCGCGCCTCTTGGTGGAAGCAAGTGGGCCAACACGATTCGATTTACATATGCACGCCGGCGGCATCATCGCCCCAGTATAAATCCCTCAACCTTTATCTCATGATCGTCACCACTTATTGACTTTTGCTATTCCTGGTGTCATGATACCATAAACCCTAACCCCCCTGTTTTTCCCTTTGCCGGACTGTGCACCTACTACTTCAATTGCCTGCTTTGCATGACGAATTGATGCATGAGGTTACGGTGATGCCCACTGTTGATGCATGATGAGGTAAGTCGTCCAGTCAGGCACTGTCGCTCCGGGACCTCCTCTCTCTCCCCCAAACCCGTTAAGTTGGCGCATGCCCTTTCTATCGATGTTTTCTTCCTTCCCCACCTTATAAACCAAAACCATGAACCCGCCTCGCCGTTGCCATGGCACACTGCACCTTCGGATGCATGATCTGCAAGCCGAGTTGCCCCGGACCAGAATGGTGATTCAGGTGAGCGAAACTGGTTGGTGACAGAGTCACACAGGAGACCCCTACAGTCGATGATCCTCGCAACTCTGAAACTTGACAGGGGAGCTAGGCTCGGAAGCAGAAGATGACCTCTCCCCGGCATGGCCGATGAACCAAGCATGCTGCCTTCGCCTGCATGTTATACAAAAATAGCTGGACGTTGGGAGCGGGATCGACGTTTCGGAAACCTGCCGTGCATCCAGAGCCGGCAACAGCAGCAGGGGGAAGTGGGCTTCACAGACAAGATTCCAAAGGGCGTCAAACGTGGGAGGTCAGATAGCAGTGGCCAGGCGTCCCTGATAGTCCAAGCCGATCACAAAGGTCGGCCGAGCCTTTCACGAGGCTCCGCGCCAGCCTTCTGACGTACCCCATGCAAGCAGCCCTCTGACGGAACCTGGAGGACGTTGACAAAGTGGCGTTGCTGCCGAAACCCAGTAGAAGACATACTGCTGACATGTTTTGCTATTTCTGGTTGTATGCCTTGGTTTTCTTACATCATTTTTCTGGCACTTGCTGGCAACGAAGAGTCTCACCCTGGAACAAGACACTCCTTAGTCACAAGTCATAGCGATCACTCCTGTGGGCATGTTTGGAAGTTCGCTTTTTAACCTCTATTTGATTTCGTTATGAGCTGTTGTGTTGTTTACTTTAGATCTTTGAGTCCCACAGGCTACCATTCTTTCAAACTGTGTGATACAGTCTTTCTAGTCGGTCAATGTACCGATGCTTGCACGATCGCTTCGGGGTTTGCCTCATTCTATGCTGCATGTGCCGGGGTGAGGTTAAGGTCCATGTGTCTTGGCGATCTTTGTGGCTTGAAGGTGATCGTGAGCTAGCCTCTTAGCGGCAAACGTATGTTCTGAAACGTGAGCGGAACTACCCCAGATGGTCAATGTAGCAGCCTCGCGAATGATCACTGCGATGGAAGCTTCGTTATGTCCAGTACCTCCTTTGGGCTGGGGTGAGGTATTGGGGTTTTACGTTTGTTTAGTGACGCTGTGGTGTAGCGGTGATTATTTGCCAACCTTGTGAGCAGATGTTTTCCAGTTGAGTGCGAGAGACCCTAAACCCTAAACCCTAAGCCTTAAGCCCTAAACCTTAAACCCTAAACCCTGAACCCTAAACAGTGTCCCAGTTGCGAGAGCGTAAACCCAAAACCCCCACCTCCGTCCTGCTGCAAGGGTAGCAAAAACCGATGTCCAGGCTATGCCTGGAAAGCTCCGGTGGTTGAGAAGTTCGGATCCTTCCGAAGACTTGGAGGGACCTTAATAATTGGGCTAGGGCTAGGGCTTTGGGGCCTAATGTACTATAGTTATAACAAGGAACCCCCCAAATAGTATTGGTAAGTATTTAAGTGATGTTTGGAAGATTTTGGAAGTAAAACGCCTGCCTTGACGCAGTGCCCGGCTGCATTCGCTTAGGCAAAAAATCCCCAATCCTTTGGACTTTCGGGGTTCGCCCTGATCCGCACCCAGGCTCACAAGCGCAGACGTATCAGCAGCCGGGTCTGCAAGCTCCCTTGCAGCAGCAGGTCATGCTGCTCTCTTTCTCGCTGCCATTCTTACGGGCTTCTTAGAGATTCTAGAGTGTGCTTTTGCAGATCGCCGCTCGCTTCAGCAACACACAAGAGGTGTAGCAATGCTCCGGCACGTTGAGATCCGACGGCTGCAGGCCCGTCTCTGGCAGAACCAAGCCATGGGCCTTTGTGGTGGCTGCGGCCTCAGTGATGGTCGGATTTCTGATGGTTTCAGGGTTGGAGTCGGGGCCTAAAGGGTTCGGGAGGTCGGGTGACATGGCGAGCTTCTCTTCAGCAACTACGGCGCCTTGTAGTTCAGAATGCCATAGTTCGGAAGATTGTCGCTATTTGCTTCGTGCTTATGTTTCTGTCACTCCTACGGCTGCATCCCTCGTTAAACAAGAAGGCCCTGCTATTGAGGAGTGCTCGCTGGCACGCAATCCAAGCCCATGCTGAAACGGTGAGATGCGCGAAACGGCGGGTCAGTGTCTGGGTCGATCATTATCCGAGATATCTCCAGATAACAAACATCGCAAGACTGCTGCCCCTAGCGAGTTGGTATAGTGATATCTGTGACTATGGTCCTCGTCGCAAGTCCGTTCCTTGTCACGGCAGTAAAGACCAACAACAGCGGTCTTCGGAATGGTAGCATGACTGAGCGAGGTGACCTCCTTACCTCGGAGGCCAGGGTCACCGACAAGATTTTCCATGCGGGGAAGAGCTGTCGTCTGTTCTTGAAGATGCAATGCAGTTCGAAGCATGGGTTGAGGAAACGGGTGTAAGATTGAAGACGGAAAACAACCGAGAGGTGATGAGGCAGAAGCCTTTGACGCTCAGCTGCACTGAGTGGGAAGATGAGGACGGCCTGAGGTCAGCTCTGATGCATTTTTCGTGAAGAGAAACGCGAGGTGTTTGCGACACTCTCATCAGTGCCTCATGTCTTCAGAGGGCTTCGTGAACCGAGGCAGTAGACTAGCCAACCGGCTTGTGAGACCGATGTGAGTTCTGCATGGCAGGAATTCGTGTTTCGAAGATTAGCATCGACATCGCTGAAATGTCGGCAGTACTTAAAGGATCATGGGACTTAGTAAATAAGGTGGTTATTAGGGTAACTATACTTGTGACTACTTATAACCCCAATTAAGGCACTTTTTACCATACTAAGTCCCATGATCCTCCAAGTAGTTCAGCAGTTCCCTGCCGTCTGCAGCCAGCTGCAAGAAGCTGCGCCGAATTGCTTCGCTACGCGCGGGCGCACTTAAACACCACGCAGAAGGCACACGCGGATCCGTTAAGCTCGCATGCTGGCTGCCGAAGCACACCACATGGCGTTTCCCGAGCCTGGACGAAAAGGCAAGTGTCTGCTGAAGATTGTTGAAGTATCAGCAGCAAGTGTGGTAGGACGGTGGAACCAGCAACAGCACCAGAGACGGTACGCACAGTTTCGAGGAGTACAGCAGTCATTGGTGTCGTCGTCATCGTCCTCCCATGTGCAAAGGTAAGCTTGCCACTTCGACCGGGTGCAGAGTCGGAAAACCGACTTTGGGTCCTCGACTTTGTGCCTTTGTGCGGCGACTGTGGGGTCCCATCCACTGAGACGGAACGGGGCCTCCCGAACGATCCGGAAATGGGACCCCTGCTTTCAAGACAATGCTGTCCAGACGAGACGAAGTGATACTTGTTTATGAGTTCGGGTTTCCTCGAGCTTCTGGCATTGTTGCATCATCTGTTGAAGTTCAGTTGCATTTCCGACGCGCCAGCAGGGGACCCGAATTCAACCTCCTCGGAAGGGGTCTTCCTTGATGATGGTGTGCACAAGCTGTCCGACCCAACAATCATCTTGGCCCGTTTCAAAAAAGGACGAGACGGACTCTGCTCATTGCCTGTTGAGGGGTTTAGCTTTCAGGGGTTTCTGGCTTAGGGCTTGAGTCTTGGAGTCTAGGTGTAGGATGTAGCGTAAAAGCGTGTGCGATGGGATGATTGCCTGGCTTTTTGCGATCGGCGACGTCATGTGATGCTTACGTGTCGGCTCGAGGCTACATCGGCCGCGTACCTCGCAGGCTAGAATTGGAAGTCAAAGTCACCGCGACCATCACTGCTGCACATGTTGATGCGAGAACAACGGTAACTCACAAGCTGACAGATCACGAGGAAGAACGCGACGGCGACAATTTACATTTTGAGCATGTGAAGGTCAGATTCCACTTACGCACACCAAGTCAAGAACAAGACTGCTGACCATTGTAGAAGTATTGATACTTTTTTCATGTCGTTGGCTCACCTGGCTGCATTCTCAAGGCGGGATTTTTGGTGCTTGCTGCGTGTGGAGTGCAAGGCCCTTTTCGTGGAGCCTAGAGTTTCAGCGGCCAAACCAAACTTCTAACCCCCACGCCAGCTATACAGGTGAAGCCTACAATCTAAAGCAAAGCTCAGAACTCTCGTAGATTTTTGCGATCATCTTCACTCCAAGGTGTCCCCAAAGTTACCTCGCGAGTAAGCATCGGTCCTAGCAATGCGACTGGTGAAGCACAAAGCGAACTCCTGGAGCGGAGCGCCCGAGTGGGAGAATCCGAAGCAAGAGAAACTACTTACATTAGGGACCCTGAACCCTGAACCCTAAACCCGAAACCAACATGGTATTCCGGACTCCTTATCAGGCGAAGGAAAAGAGGTGATTAAACAAAACCGAAACCCCTCT